TCTTTTCTCTCTTTCCTCTTCTCTCTTCTCTCTTCTCTCTTCTCTCTTGTCTTCTCTTCTAGCCCGTGATTGCGTCTCCGTTGCCCTGGATTCTGGCTCTTAACGGTTCTTAACGGGGAACTCTGCACCGTTAAGAACCACACTTCGTGTTTCCGTCACCGTGCAGTGATTTTTAACGGTAGCTTTACCACAATAACACCCTTTGTCTCTCCGTTTTCACTCGTAATTCGCGAGTCCTAGTTGTCCTTACCGGAAGTTAACGCCTTCACGGTTAAGTTAAGCCCTCTCCACAACTTCAAGCGTGCTTTGTTGAGTCTACGTCACTCCGGTGTCTTTTTTAGTCGTTCTTAACGACGTCAGCGTCAAAGACTCAAAGCTGCAGCTCGCTAAGGAAACCTTTTACTCTGTGTCTCCGTTCATCGGGGGACAGCCATATATTTTTCTATCACCTCACATATCTTTCTTTTAAGTGGCGTTCTGGTACTACTTCTTAACGATGAGGTGTCTTTTCACAGTTAAGAGCCGCGCACTTTATGTCCACGTCAATCCACAATCTCAGTAGGCATTTAACGGCCTCACCGCGAGGGCTTCACTCTTGCCCCACTTGCGAGCCGCTCTCTCTCTCTCTCTGCCAATCCGGACGCTTAACGCGCGCTTATTTTGAGCATATCTGGCCAGAAACATGCTTGTATACGTTCATTTTCAGGGTGCGTTGTGTTCGGGGGAAGCCGGTAGTTGGTCATGGCTTCTTCTCCGTTAGAAAGAACCGCACTCTGTGTCTCCGTTAATCCGCAGTCTTTGGCGTTCTTGACGGCTGCAGAACTAGAATCATTAACGGACTCTCCGTCTCCGTTAAGAACCGTTAAGGATTCTTCTTCCTGACGAGCCGCGCTCTCTGTCTGGAGTCTGGACTCGCCAATCCGGACTCCTATGGGTAGTAGTAGTTCGTGAAGCAGAGCCTTCTCCGTTAAAAAGAGCCGCACTCCGTGTCTCCGTTCGATGATTCAATCCGGACTCTTTAAGTAGTTGGACTTAACGGTGACTTCACCGTTAAGCTTCACCGTCAAGAACCGCAGTGCATGCATGTCCACGTCCATCTGGAGTCGTCAGAGCCATAAACGGCCTCACCGTTAAGCGTTCACCCTTGCGAGCCGCGCTCTCTCACGCCGCCAATCCGAACTACTCTTAGTAGTAGTTCGTGAAGCAGAGCCTTTTCCGTTAAAAACAGCCGCACTCCGTGTCTCCTCCGTGCAATCCGGAGTCTGTCTTAGTAGTCGGTATTAACGGTGACGCCACCGTTAAGAAACGCAGTTGATGTCCGCGTTAATCCGGAGTCCATATTAGTAGCCATTAACGGCCTCACCGTTATGAACCACACTTTCTGAGTAGGGCTACGCCGTGCCGCCTACGCGTTAGTATTGCGAAGCAGCTCTTCATCGGCCTGTTAGTGTAGTCTCTCTAGCAAGTTATAGTATAGTGTCTCTCTCTCTCATCGACTGCAGTCGCTGTGATATAGGCACGAACGAGGCAGGATGTGGGCCGTATTGCTTAGCAAAGCGATCCATAGACTGCGGCGGGCTTTCCTTCACCGGTACAAAGTCGCCAGGTCGGCCGGCGAGCTCCTCCCAGTCTTTGAGCACCGTCATCACAAGCCCGATGCGACCGACAGCTGGGATGGGCCGCAGCGGCCACCACCACCCCCTCCTCCTCCCTCCTCTCAACGACGACCTCGGCCTTGTCTCCTCGGTCCTCGTCGGCATTGGATCCTTGTGATCGCCACATTTTGCCTAAGTATAGCTGCGAGCTCTGTCTATCTGCTGTGGAAGCTAGCGGTCTTCGCTAGCATGCATAAGTCGGCCTCATCCTTCTCTCAGCTCTTCTTTGCTGTGGAGGTCTCCTTCTTCCTCGCGCAGTTCGTCTCTCTCGCTGAGTTCTCTCGCCCTGTTGTCACCCGCAAGAGGCTGACTCTGGGGCCATCAGGCCCCTTCCCCCGGGTCGCGATCCTAATCACCAGCTGCAACGAGGATCCCGACGTCATCCAAGACACGGTCGTCGCCGCCCTAGCTCAGAACTACCCCCCCGACGCCTACACCGTCTGGGTACTCGACGACGGCGGCGACGACCAGCTGCAGGACTACATCACCTCGCTGGCGCAAGAGACCGGCCGACAGCTGCGCTACCTCCGCCGGCCTAAGCCCAAAGGCGTGCCCCACTTCTTCAAGGCAGGCAATCTGAACTACGCTCTGAGAGGCATACAGGACGAGTTCGTGTCCGTGATCGACGCCGACATGATCGTCTCTCCGGATTTCCTTACGAGCATGCTCCCCCACTTCTCCTCTCCCAAAATAGCCTTCGTGCAGGCGCCGCAAGCTTACTACAACATCAGCGCGGGCGACCCGCTTAGCGGCAGCGGGATGTACTTCTACGACATCATGATGCCGCACAGGGACGCCTGGGGCTGCGCGCAATGTGTCGGCACCGGGGTCGTCTTCCGCCGCAGCTGCTTGACTGAGATTGGCCTCTTCGTGACAGGGGCGGTGACTGAGGACATCGGCACCTCCCTCCAGCTTCACTGCCGAGGCTACGACTCCGTCTATCTTACCCAACCCTTGCAGGTCGGGTTGATCCCATGGACCATGGATCGATGCATCAAGCAGCAGCAGAGGTGGTGCCTTGGGGAGTTGCAGGTGGTTTGGCAGAGGGGTTTACTCTGGGTCCGAGCCGTGGGATTTGGCATTCAGCGTCGGATCATCTACTTCCAAGCGGTCGCTCACTCCTTCCTGGCTTTCCCCGTCGTAACCCTCCTCGTCCTTGCACAGCTGCTCTGCTTCGTTGATCCCTACTTGCTGCCACGTGGGTGCACAGAGAAGGAGTACAGAATGTACATAACCCTGCTCGTGCCTCATCTAGTCGCAAGCAAACTGCTGGCACAGGTCGTTCATCTTCGAATCGCAGGCTTCCTGACTCGGCAGCAGGTACGCATCAGAGGCGAGCAGGCTTGGTGGTGGTTGGCTCCGTACAAGTGCATGGCGGTGCTACGGGCGTTCGTGCCCTGGATCCCGCGAACCTTCGAGGCGACCGGTAGTCGCGACGAGCCCGCTGGTGCTGCTGCGGCGACCGGTCGGTTGTCAACGCTCGTCGGGCTCTGGAACAACGCTTGTCAAGTTGGCTTTCATCTTACCTACGTCGTCGTTGCGCTGGTCGGGATCGCGTGGAGGATATACCGACTGGAGCACAGCAACTGCCACGATCTGATGAAGTCTGGCCTGTCTATGTTGTTCCTCTTGTTCACCGCGCAGCAGATGTCGGAACCGATCTTCTTCGCGCTCTGGCCGCCTGCTTACCCCACGGAAGACGATCGAAGGTCCTTGCTCAAGTACCATCCAGACGGAGTGCCAGTGTTTCAAAAGGAGTTGGGAGTTCCCCCCACGGACTGGCGAGTGCTGTACTTGGAGATCTTGCCCACCATCCAGGCCGCTCTGTGGTTCTACTTGCTGTTCGTGGCTTGGCACCCCGAATACACACCAGATTACTGCGAAGTCGGCTTCTTCGACGACAGAGGGTTCAGTCGCATCTGAGTTCTGCCCCGACGACTTCTTCGTCGGAGCAACCAAGTCCCGTCGCCTGCAGTACGGACGAAAATATAGTGAAGGGGGATCAGACTTACGGGGACAGGCGAAGGGTGGTGGGAACATGGAGAGAGAATAAACGGGGGCAAAGAGATCTCGCTCTGTGTGTGTGTGTGTGTGTGTGTGTGAGAGAGAGAGAGAGAGAGAGAGAGAGAGAGAGAGAGAGAGAGAGAGAGAGAGAGAGAGAGAGAGCATTGACTTCGCTGAACCTGCATTCGAAACCTACAGTCTGGGGGTGGGGTGTGTGTATGAGAGAGAGAGAGAGAGAGAGAGAGAGCATTCGACTTCGCTGAACCTGCACTCGAGCACCTGCAGTCTAGGGGCGGGGTGTGTGTGTAAGAGAGAGAGAGAGAGAGAGAGAGAGAGAGAGAGAGAGAGAGAGAGAGAGACGCGGAGCAAGAGAACGTGGAGATAGGTAGGGGAGGGGCGGTCCTCTGATGATCTGTCTGCCTCCCTCCCTCTCTCTTTCTCTCACTCACACACACACACACACACACACACACTTGTGTGCAATGCGCGTGTGTGGTGTGTGCATGTTGTGTGTTGTGCGTGTGTGGTCAGTGGATATGCGTTTGTCGCTCTCTCTTTGCT